TCTCTATTTCAGCGTATTCGTCAGTAAAGACAGGACCAATTCTGTGGTAGTTCTCCTCAAGGTCGGTGTATGGTTTTCAAGGTCTTGTGGCGCCACAGGCGTTGGCACGATACGCTTTTCTCTCACGATGATGCAACTACTCATTATGAGTCAACATCTATTTAACGATGACAAAACGTTAATGAAACTTAAAAAACAATTTTCAATGTTGACGTGTAAAACACAAAATGAGTACGAGAGTAAATTAACTATTAACATTATTACTTCCTATTACTACTTATTTAAGAATTCTTGTTCCTTTGAAAAAATGTTAAGGCTTAACTCAGACCAACACTGACGTTTTTCTAGATCTCTGAAATCCACAGGAATAATGAGAAATCCATGACTTTTTTCAATAGGCATTGCAAATGCTGAGTAGCTTTGTAAACGTATACATTTTATATCAGGTGTCAGGAGTCATCGACTCTCGTTATTAATTTAAGAGAAACAAAAAATTTTGATTAGCGCTATGCCATCACGAACGCATGGAGATCATACAATAAATACGAAGTCCGATGCCTCACACGTTCAAAATAAAATAGTTATTCATAGGTTTGTTTTATTCTTACACAAGAAGTGACGAATTTTTGTTCACTTTTGTCTGCCCTGGTCGAACCTGGGGAAGAAAGAAAGATGGACAATAACAGTGTAAAAGACCCTCTTTATACACTATACTGATTTTTGTTTAGGACTTTGTGAAAATTATGTATTTAAAAATGAGCAGATTCAGTTGATCTATTTTATTTTCAACATAGAGTACACTCCTGGGAGACATTCTCTCCCAGAGAAAAAAGCACTGATGAACAGAAATCATTATTGCTTATTTACAAGGGGGAATAATGCACTTTTTAATAAAGTTACCAATAACTTCCTTTTAGTCTAAGCCGAATTGATTACAAACTGTTTTACAGACTGTAAATTTCCATTTATTCAGTTTTAAACAAAAGGGCATGCAGATCACTCTATCTGCTTGAAAATACAAAGGAGTTGGAACTCTTCAATATGCAGTGTACAGACGGTCCATAATTTCTTTTTCTAGGTCTAAGAATGATTGTCTCTTAAATAGTTGTACGATTCTATCCACCAACAAAATACTTTTTTAATACAGAAAAGAGAGTACTGTTAAGACATGTTAATGCTTGAATGTTTTATTACGTAACAGTTTTATTATGATTTTAAAGAGGTGTGCAAAACATATGAAGTTTTTAAAAACAGAATTTCTAAAAATCTTATCGTTTTAAAGATGAAAGAATCATCGACGAATCAAAAGCATATCGCACCTATTGACTGCAACCTGTCAAGATATTTGATTTTTTTTAACATTGTTCCGAATAATCTTATCTATTTATACACTAAATGAAATCTTTTATCAATGTCTGCATACAATATGAAAAGTGCAGAATGAAAGAAAAATGCAATTATATTAATTTACTTAAATACACCTGTTCAAGGATTCCTTGAAGATTCTTCCTCTTGGAAACAAGTTTTCGTCTTATTTAAGAACAGCTTGCTGAAAATATTGCAAATTTCAATTAATTCTTCGACAAGACGAAGAAAACAGAGAAAAAGCTTTTGTTGCTAATGAGAAAAAATATCAGCTGATAAAAAAAATTCTTAATTTCTTGAAGAATTTTTTTAAAAATTATGACCAGGCACGTACATGTCTTAAAGGTTGTTTACTGTTCAAATATCAGTTAATCTAAATATTTATCTTTTTCTTAGAAATTTTAAAATCGATGGTACAATATACATGTATCTGAATTTAAGAAATTTTAAATCAAAGTGGAGCATTTTGATTTTTTAAATCAATTAATTCATTTCTGCTCTATTGTTTCAGGAAGTCCATAGTCTATCTAGGCATCATTTTTATTATTCATCAGAGAAGTAGCATCGTTTTTGAAAGTGGGGATGGGGCAGCCAGAGAAAATTTTAACTTACCTGAAAAAAAAAAAAAAACTTGAAAAGCAAAAAGCAAAACTTGAAAATCCTATTTCGTTGGGGGAGGGGGGGGGGGGTTAGATTCCAACTTCTTTCAGTACCCAATTTTTCTCATACACTATACTACATTACCCTTTTTTCAGTATACTGCAACAAAAAAAAAAGGGGAACCGGCCTTTCAATGAGCATTTTCAATGGTAAAAATTTATATTTGAAATTGTATTCATAAAATCTCAAACACACGATGAGTATACATTGACATACATTTACACAAGGTTTTCGAGTGTTGGCACAAGTGATATTTCTAATAGTTTAAAATTAAAATTTTCTTTTTTGTGAACTTTAACAGGATTATCTCAACAAATTTGCCAGGTAAGAAACTATCATTTGGAATTTTGATGTTTAGTTTCATGTTGCAAAATTAACATTGAATCGAGCTCTAAAAAATTATACGAATCTTATCATAGTAAAGATAAAGAATAGCCACCTACTCAAAACTCAGACTCTCTTCCGCGTAATTTATTTTTTCAAATTAGATTTTTTAAATACGATTAAAGTTTGTAAGGAGGATACATATGATAATCCAATATAAAAAAAGACCCCAAAATTAAGCTAATTTGAATCACTTCCCGAAAGAACATGCATATTATCAAACACAGGGAAACTAGGGTGTAAAAAGTCTAACAAAACACTAATGAGAAATAACCTCCGTATGAACAGCATAGCCCCTCCGCGAGATTAGGCTATTATCATGTTTTTTGTAAAACGAAACTAAGCTTAACTGTTTTTCCAGTTAGACTTAAGTCTTATCTTTTCGCACTTTGGTTCCACAGAATTAAAATTGGCGAGAGTGTTAGAGAAAACATCATTCATCATGGATCGCACGGGTTAAGGAGCAATTAGGCTGATAGGTTAATCTTAACTTACTTAAAGATAAATTATTCTTTGAGAATATGGTATATCTCAGTATGTTGCTTTCTTTGATAAGGTCAATTAACCGTTTTGAAATATAAATGTAAATAGATATATCATTTCTAATTTGTTTTTAACAGACGATTGAGGACGAATCAAAACACTGATGTACGTCATATTTCAGATCTGCAATATTCATATATCCCTTTCCTCTTGGTCATTTGATACAAAATTGTATTTTATTTTACCATTCCGTTTTCAGTACATAAGGGGTTATGCATCTTTATTTATCTCCACAATTTAAAAATATAATCTCTGCAAATCTAAATGCCACTGAGTAATATTTTATATGCATGTACCTAATTAATATTCACGGACTTCGGTTTGCTGAAGACAAAATGAAGGATGCTACTGGTTTAGGTAAAGCCTAAACAACACTAATTAATCTAATTTAATTTTAATTAATAGAGTTACAGATTGTATTACTAAGCAAGAATTATGACATCTTCATTCATAACGTTTTTTCTTGGGTAACGTTCTTAGTAGTAACAGAGAAATACAGATTATTTATAGATTATATTTTTTTTCTAATATGTATATTGTTTTATCAGGCAAACGTCCTGCATATAAGAAAGTTTGGACTTCAGTTGATACCACTATAGACTCTATAAAAACAGATCAATTAGCGTAAAATTCTTTACTCTAATTTTTTTTTTATTTCGCCAACCGTTCGAGTGCTTTTTCTCTGATTGATCAAAAATATTATACGTTTATTTATGATGGCAAGTATATTATATATTACTTTTTTAGTATGTAGTTTACGCAAAAAGTTAATTTATAATTGCAAGGTATATTTTGTATTACCTTAATGTGTAGTTTTGGCAGAAGTACATTATTCTGTATGCGTACATGTACATTTCGAATGGGGCCCGTTTTACATAAGAACTTACGATTAAGACCAAATTTAATTCTGCTGCTATCTTTTTAACTTGCATTATGTTGAAAATGGTTTTAATCTTTTTAAAAGGAATGTAGTAAGATATTTTTATTTTTACCCTAGCAATTTTAAACAGAATCATTAATTTTGCAAAATTTTTATAATCAGCTTAGGTTTTAATCTTAGTCGTAAGTTCTTTTGTAAAAGGGGCCCCACTTTCGTAAATATCCATTTTCCACCATTCCTCTAATTAGTGATTATATGGGCTGAAAATGTTACACGACCGAAGCAAAGTTATCTAGCATATGTATAGGAGATATAATACACTGTATGCATTGCTGGCTTTCTCTTTTGTGTGTAAGTGTAAAGTGAATGAATCGTTGACAGTTTTACATTTTGTATTGTTTTAAATACGTACTCCTTCGATATACAAGTAAGTTAAAGAAAATACATAGTCCAATTTCAAATTGAAAGGGTTATGTCAGTAATAAACAAAAAATAGAGAAATGAACAAATATGATTAAAATTATCCACAAAAAAAAAAAAAAAAAAAAAAAAAAAAAAAAAAAAGGAATTTAAAAAAAACTAGTTTTGAGAGTTAAATAAAAGAAATAAATGAATGATGTTGGGAAAAAAAGTTATATAATATAACTGGTACTGAAATATCAAACTTTGAATTCAAGAAAAACATTTTCAATTTCTTACACTAATTAAAAATTTAATTCAAAGTTAATGCATTTTACTTATAAGCGTCCAACAAGTACAATACAAGATATAATTATTTTTAGTTAGATTTAGAATTTGCGTCAGCTATCTTCGCAGTATATACATCTATACACCTCTAACTTATTCATGTAATGTAGCTGTCCCCTCTCTAAAATTTGTAAAGTAAATATGAATATCAACATTTTCCAATCGCTATCACGCACGGTACCATGCTTTATTAAATACATACATGATTTTGTCTCACTGCACTAGCGTTGTATGTTTTGTGTTGTCAGTTTGGGAGGATAGTAAACACATGCTCTTCGGTGAACCCTAAAAATTGGTTAACGACGGGTTAAAAAATGATTGATCTCTATTTTTGCTAGTCTCGACTGCGAACGTGGACAAAATCATTACCCTAATTCTAGCTTCCATTCCTGTGAAATGAGTATCCACATGTGGTCATCATTACAAATTAACGATGTAAATATTTACATGTATGCTCGATGCACAGGTTCAACAATGTGAAGTTTGATCTCGAGTGTCGTGCTTAGTATCCAAGTTGGTAAATCTCGCTCAAGATAAAGATTACGTGAACAGGAATTAGTAATCGGACTATAAAACTCGGACCATTCCGTACAACAGTGACGAAATCGCTTCACTCGAACATATAAATATACGCACTCACCAATGACAGACAGAGAGAGAGAGGATCTTGGCATTATACAACAGCAACATATGTTTCTAATATTCACTTTGCAGGGAAAGATGCAGCTACACTCGTGACCCTATGCTTGTAACAAAACCCTAGGTTTTATCACCACTTCACTGGATTTAAGTCTTGTATTAGCTGTATTGAGGACTTCTTAAAATTTATTTGCATTATTGGATACTTTGTCTTCATTGACGGATAGAGGGAAGCAGGCTGTGGTTAGGAAAACTTACTCGCGAGGGTATAAAAATAGAGATAGTGAGAGCAAGCGGTAGCAAGTCACCAGCAAGCCTGAATTAACGAGATAAAAACGAAAGCTCGATTCTGATAATAGTAGAAAAAACTGACTCGGTGCATGCATGGTCTGGAATCAAGGTGGCTGTCTTTTGACGGTTCCAGAGGTTATAATTAATTCTGTACAAGACAGGAAAAAAGAGGAAAATTGTAAAATGTCATCCGAGACAGAGGAAAGCATTCCCGAGGAAGAGGGGAGACCGAAAGAACATGAAATGGAAGCGGAATCGAAATTGCAAATCATTATTAACAAAATCAAAAACTTCTTTAAGAAGATTTATGAAGTTTCCAAATCTCTGTTGGGACTTTCCGTTTTACTTGTTCTCTATTCAATTATAGGAATGATTATGTTTCACTGGATAGAATATCAGGAGGAATTAGACCAGAGAGAAAAAGTTGTGAACTTCCGGGAACTCACGGCTAAACAACTATTTAAATTAAATAATGAAATATTAAATGAAACTGAATGGATTCAAAAGTCCCGAGAATATCTGGAGAATTATGAAAATTTGATCAGGAACACACCCTATGATACCACCGAAAAACCACTTTGGAGTATGTGGGGATCTTTGTTTTTCTGTGCTACAATTTACACTACCATAGGTAAGTTTGTCAAAATTCAGAAATAAAATTCGCAAAATATTGAAAATCGAAGTCTTTTAACAATTGAACTTATGTACACGGTACTAAGAAAATTAAAATAGATTATTTTCATTTTATAAAAAAAAAATAAATGGATTTAATAATTTTGAAAACAATCTGAACATGGTTACTATATGAATGTGTCTATTATCGGCCTTGAGAAGTTCTACATGATGCAAATCATGTACTCTTATTTTTTGTGTAAGTATGCAATTTTTTGAAGTTTCTGGTTTAAATCAAGTCCAGGCGACCTCTAAAATGTTAACCTTTTCTTGAAGTATCTCTAATAGAAAAAAAAACCATAATGTACCAAAAATTTGAAACAATATCGGTTAAAACGCAGATAAGAAGAAGAAAAAAATACGGAAACGGAATTTGTTGTTACCCGTAGTTGGTTATCTGCAATAGTATACAAATGCACATGTCGCTATTAAAGTCACATGGAGATGCAATCATTTGTCACAATCAATTTCGCTGAGACGCGTGTTTAGCATTCTCTGAATCTCATAACGTTAAGCGTCATGGGGACTCTTGGTGTAATTGTGGGGGAGAACTACGACCCTTTTCACCTTTCATCAGCCATCATCTCAGAAATTGAGCACAAGAACCTACTCTTACTACGGGAAAAAAAAAGAAACCATAAACTGACATCAAGCAACAGGCGCTGATAATGTTCCACTTCTTTTTGCATAGTAGTTTAGCCATTTTTTTGTACCTGCCATAAACCTTTCAGAGTATATGCATACAAGTTCGAAACAAGCCAGACAAAACGGTTACTTTTACGATGAAAATTGTAGAAAATCCATAATGTATGTGCATAAAAGAATATCACTGAAGTTTATGGTCGCTGATCCAAACTCTTTCCGATTCTCGCATTATTATTTGATATATTCCCAAGTCACCTGTTTTTTTACACAAGGCATTTTTTAATAAATAACATTATGCAGACAAATTTGCAGCTCACTCAAAACTCTTATCACGAAATCTGCTTGTCTTCATTTTTTTCTTATTTGCTTTCAAGAAGCTAATTTAATGCATACAGAGTAAGTTTATTGTTGTTAAGATTCATAAGAGGTCAAGTCCCAGTATGTATTACACCTGCTTTTGAAGTTTTCCTCAAAGGTTAATTTACAGATGTTCAAATTTTCCATCATTTCCATAAAATATAGAATATTTCCCATAGAGAAATTTATTTTTAAAAAAGATTTTACTCACAAAACCTTTATTAATGTTTTCCTTTAATATGCGTGCAGAGTACAGAACTTTGTTATCTAGTAGGAGTTCAGATCACTTTCGCCCACTTTGCCATCATGTTCTTGTTTCCTCTCAAATGTTACCCAATTTAATTTTTTTTTTCACAAACGTGCTTGAAAATTTGAAGAACTTGAATTACTTGAGGATGATTTATCAGGAGAATAAGAGGCCCACGATTCAGAACCGATGCCAATTGAATAATTTACCTACAATCCTTCTTTTAAATCAAAACCAATTACAAAATTGGAGTTCAAAAGTTATTTTGATTATTTGAATGCATTTTTCCCTGAAAAGAGTCTTTAGCCGCCAAACTGATTATTTCTTAGCATATCTTTTATAAAGGAGCCAATGCAATGTTACATAGGTTTGGCCAGAAACTGTAGCTGATTAACCCATTTCTTGAATTATACAGAAAACATATATTCAAAAATATTTCTAAAGAGGTTTCATTAAGCTCTGCCACGCCTATTAGCTTCTGTTTTGCGCTTAGAAGATGAGAAAAAGTTTGGATAAATTTCATTGATGGCAAAGAAACCATTAACTCATGTATTGCATTATATCAGAATAAATGTTATTGGTTTTTGAAATGGAAGATTTACCAGACAATTATATTTATAGGTTCTAGACTGTTTCATTTATATATACCCTAGAACAGATTTGAATAACCAAGAGATTTCAAAAAGTAGTATTCATGGTGTTAGAATGATAAGTGGATTTTCTTTAAGTTAAGACCGTTCCTAAGGGAGGTGCATAAGTACCTATAAAATATTGATTGTGCGTTTGTTATGAAAATAGGAATATCTCCGTTGTAAATTGTTTTGGTCGTGGGATTGTAGGTTGATGAATGAAATGCTTTGTTTTAATACTTTTTTAAAGATCTGAGTCAACGTATTTTCTTAATCACCTACTTGAAAATGTAATTACGTTCAAACAAAACATGATCACATCACTGTAGCTAAGTTTCGAAATCCTTGATGACCAAAACATATAATATATAATATTATTATATTATTTTCAGCATATGAGTTTAAAATTACGATGTTGAATATGGCAATCCCAAATTTTAATCTGGAGATAAACTAAGTTGAATGTACAACTTTTTTTTAAAAAAAAATCTACATTGAAAATGATATTTTACAAACACTTAAATTTGATTAAATGTTAAGGACATAACTTTGTTTTGATTTTGTGACTTTATCAAAATTTTCGTTTCACACCGACAAACCAAGATTTTAGCAATGATAATATAGCAATTTGGAAACCAGAAAAAAATGCAACCATTCATAAAATTCTAACTTCACCTAATACACTTATAATATATAACAATATAGGAAAAGGCGTTTCATATATTCTTGACAGGATTTAGAGCTCTGCAGTGACAGATAAACAACTATAGTAAATCAATTAAATACTAGTATGTACTTTGAATAATTTCTATGACAAAAACAAATGATTTATTTACACTTTTTCTCTTATGAACTTTACAAACTATTTTTACATGAATTGGATTCGGAAAGTTTATCTGCAGAAACCATTTATGATATAATGGCCATTGTTGATATCATGAAAAGAAAAACACTGTTCATTATTTAATTGCAATATTTCTCATTTAAATAAACATTATATTCATTAGTGGATGATATCGACTTCTATAATTAATAAAGCAAAATGTAACAAGAAGATGATGTAAATGTATCACTCGTGGTCAACACAATGCATAATAAACATGGCACTGATACCAGCATTGATACGTGTATCTGGATATTCATACACAAATTCTACTTTTTATTTTTATATTATTGTGGTTATTGCAATTTTTCATCCATGCATTCATTAAGAAGAAATTGTACGAAATTGAAGAAAGAGATAAAGTGGAAACGAAAGTTTGTAATAAGAAAATACAAATAGTAAATTGAATGATACTTGGTGTTAAGGATGTGTTTTAGAAATTACAAATCACACGGGCAGTGTTCCAGAGGAATGGAATATGTATTTTGTACTTTAGTCTTCGATAACTTCACTTATACTTGTTGAACCGAACTTCAATAAAAACATCGCAGCTTGTGCAATATTAATTTAAAAGAAGTTTGCAATAGATGTATTTTTGAAAAGGCCAAATTATAGTGTGCGACGATATTGCAGACGTTAATGCAAAATATTTATAACATTGATTTGTACTGATATTAAATCTAATAATTTTTCTTATCTTTATTTTTTATCCTATCAGCTATAGATGCTGTTTAAATTGACCTTTCCACACTCTTTCAATTATGATTATGGATCAAGGTTAGATAAGCGTATCTTAACCGTTCCGTCAGGATTCATTACTGTGTATAAAACTCAATCAATGAGTTCTGTTAGAATAATAGGTTACCCCTCAATGAGCCAGAATAAATGGTTCAGAAGATATGTATGAAGCGTGGCTTGACATATAAATCGCATGGAGGTTTTTTTTTTTTTTTTTTTTTTTTTTAAAGAATTGTAACCTTTAAAAAAGCAACCCTTTTTACACCCCATTCCTTTAATTTCAAAATTCAATTTCAAAAGAATTAGAAATGAGGCACAGTGTGCACAGCAACCAAAAATTCTTTGATTCTTTTGATATTCACAACTGGGTCTTCTACACCAATTACAGGAAAGTTGAAAATTTGAAGATTAAATTCTTTTGAAGATATTTTTGATACATATACAAAGCATTCTTAGGAAGTAGAGCTTTAAATGTTTAAGTGCTGATATACGTCTCTTTTTCTGATTACTGAAACTGCAACCTATTTTTGTTGCGTACATTATTATACTTTTTTTTAAAAAACAAGAACGTGCGTAGTTCCAATCATGATTTCCTTAACGTATATCTCTACCTTCTTCGCAACCATAACTTCTTTGTTGGTACTTCTGTGGTTTTCGACCAAAAGATATCTATCTTATTCGGACCTTGCTACTTGTATCATATTTAACATTGTGGTTTACGCGATATATGATAAATCAATGTTGTTCCGCAACCGCAACCTTGTTCGTTCAAGTTATTTCGATGATCCTGTGGTTTTCGGACAATGTCGATCGATTAAAGGCGATAATCGTTTGGCACTGAGGATGATCATTATGCAAGAAAGTGTGAAACAAATTAATCTCAGAGAGACGATAATTAAGATAAGACCCTCTGATGAGATTATCCCAAGAGATGCGCAGTGGCGTCTTTAGAGAAGAGTTGGATCTCGTCCATAACGTTGTTTGATTTGGGAGAATTTATTCCCCATCAAAAGACTGCTAGATAATTATTAAACAAAATCAAATAGATTCCTACTGTTTGCTCTCACTGTCAACATTATTATACTGGGATCTGTGCAAGTTTCATGTCTTCATGACTGCTAAATGAATGTGAAAATTTATCATAAAAGACCCGTGTGTTTGCTATCCACCTTCTATAATGTAGAACTCGTATCCAATACGAATGTTATTTAGAAGTCTAACTATATATAAAACCTGCAACATCTATTATGACGTCAGTAGACACAGAGATCATTGGCAATATACTTTATAGATATAATTTGAAGATAACAAGAGCTTCCAAAAAAGAGAGAGCAAAGCACTTCTTGTTTTTGCTAGAAAACTCTTTTCAAATGTATACATTTTTTAAATGATACTTTCAAGGCTACCTGGTTTCAGATGAAACAATACGTTCAAGAGTTTATAAAGAACAATGTCGAATTGAACTGTCGAAAAAATCTTAAAGCTTATTGCATTGAATATTTTCTCAAAGAAATATATTGATGACAAACATGTATAAAGATCTATTTTAAAAATTATCGACCGCGATCCAATTTTCCAAAAGAAGAAAAAGAACATTATTATTATCATAATTCTTACATTCATTAATTCTTTTCTTTTTATCATGAGTACTAAAAACAAGAAGGCACTCGACCTATGATAAGCTAAAAAAAAAAAGAGTTTCTATGATTAGATATAGACTTAAAATATCCAGTAAAACACCAGGGTGTTCGGTCCAAATCCTCATTATCACGTCGTGCCTCCCTATTGGAGGTTCTGTTTTTATCATCAGGCGAGCTTCTAAGTTCCCCAATTGCTATATTTCTGCTTATCCCTGGGCTTTGATAAACGAGAAGAGGGGAAAAGATCTGGCATTTCTAAGTGGGCGGACATTACTGGTCAATATATATGTTATCCGTTTAATATTGAACGTGTTCTATATCTTTCTGTAAGCAGTTCAATAAAATATCTTGCTTATCTAAAATGACATATTCGATATGTTCAGTATATACACACCTTGCGATATGTTTTCGTCGTTCCTGTTCGTAAGACTGCTGTATTACACTTAAGTTACTACGATATGATATATGATATGGTATTTTGAAATTTATGTGATAAATAAAATTCTCTGCAATAGTTCTCACCAAATGATATAAGGAAATTTAAATTTCCTTTGGCTTTCCCATTTTTAAATGTTGGTTTCATCTCATCAGTTTTCAATCAATCAACCAAGCTTTTTAAAGTTATCCGTAGCGTGTGCAGAAGATTCTGAATTACATGTATAAATGGATGCATGGAGAGATGCAATTTTGGGAATTATATATGAAGATGAACATATATTTAACATTGCAACAATCTCCCGATTTTATCGGAATGTTGCCGCAAGACAGAAGTGTAAGATTTCGCTCCAAATCAATTGACCATTAACTTTTAATTTTGCGAAATTAGACACTGTCCTTATTATATATTGTTCATTATGTTTGCAGATTGTGTTTTTGTTTTCGAAAATACCAATATGTTAAAAATAGCAAGACCTGTTTCATGTCTAAGATTTAAAAGAAAAAAAAGACATTGACTTTGTTTATAATCTTGAATAGGATTAACTTATCTATTACTTACACATCACAGACAGACAAATAAACACCAGCACGTGCATGTCTCTCGTGAACTATGCCTCTGAAGATTTTACTAGTTGGTTAACCTTGTTATAAGATTAGAAGCATGTTTTGAAACAGTAAATAAGAGGGGTTTGAATTTACGTATAAAGAATTATTAGCTGTATTTCAAAGAATTAACTATTATGAAAAGTGATGCTTTACGTAGTGCAAGTTAGACGAGGGTAAAATCCCTTGGGTAAGTCTAATGAACACAAACCATAAAAAACAAAAAATAGAAAATGTATTCCTCGTCACATCAAAGTTAAAGAGGACCTATTAGCCTTGTTTAACCAAATTACTAAAAATCCTACAATTTAATTTTCATTTATTATTTTGAATTTGTTGCTAATTTTGGTTAATCACACAGGAAACGGGAGTCCCAGATCAGGGTCCTAGTGTCCCATTGACGCGTTATTGTCCGAGAAATTTGGAAGTTTATGGCCGATTAATGTTTTGAGATAAATGGCAATTGCTTCCGATTAACGTAGTGAATAAGATATCTGATTTTTAATCAAAATTTAGTCTGTGGTATTGGTAGCAGGCGATCTAAGCTTTAGATAATGTCAATTTCTCTCAGAACATGGTTGATTTAACATGTTTTAACAAAAGTTACTAAAAGTTTACATCTGGAGCACGATTTGTTACAAAAAAAAAAAATCGAAAAATTTACCAAAAGGTCCACAACTTCAATGTAATTTAGATGAATAATCTGTAGCTTCATAGTGTAAATTTCATCCGTGTTTTCTTAAATCTTATTTACGAATATATTTCTTGATAATGAAACAAACACACCACAAATGCATGTATTTGACAAAGTTTAAAGCATAGTGCAAGTATATTTTTATTTTCAAATGATAATATCTTGGTGAATTCTTCAAATTTAATGTTATTTGCTGTATAATTTTAGTTTTCATTTCACTCGACCGAATACATGGCCTTTAAATGTTAACAATCAGCCGATGAGTTACTGTTATTGAATTTTCTCAGAATTAAATGTTAATGACAAGTATGACCTTTCCTTTGCCTAATTATTTCCAATCCGTCATAAAAACTTCAAAATATGAAGATACATTTAACCCAACGTATTCGAACCGGAATAAAAAGACTCACTCTAGCTTGCAAGGATAGACGAACAAAAAATGTTTCAAGCAGAAAATTTTAAGTGTCGCATAAAAGAAGCAAAATTAAATTGCCTTTTGCTTCTAACAGGAAAAAGATTCCATTTGCAGGCAAACTTAAGCGACCTATTATCTCAGAAAGATAATAAAACAGGACATTTTGAAACATCCGCAGTTTTGTTAAATGATAGCTGATTGTGAGTATTTTTTTGAAGGACGTAAATCTGTTAAGTACATTTTACATGCACAACATGGAATAACATTATGTTCTTGCTGACACTGGGCGTTTTCTGGTGTATGATATTAATATCGTTACTGGTTCGTTATGCTGATAACGTTACCATACCATGGCATTAGTTGACCTTTCCACGTCCCTGTGCGTTGTATTATTAGGCGGAATGGAGCCTTGTAAATGATCCCAGAACAAAGGCAGTCGTATCCATCTCTTTGACGCCATTATTGTACTAATTATGACTGCTGAGCTCAAAATCGTTCAGTTACTCTACTTTTTGTTTGTTTATGCGATACGCTACAAGACTATATATTTATCATCGTCATTAAAAAGAAGGATTTTCTGATTTTTTTAGGGGAGGGGGGTGGTGGTTTTTGCATGATTGTTGCATAGGTATTTGTAGACTTGTGCATAAAATCACTGAGGGGATTTTCTAAATACAAGGTGAAAAGTAAATCTTTTAGTCATCCTTTTCATTTTCAGTTCTAATTCGTTCACTTGTAGAGCTAATTTGCTGTGCATTTAGTAAACGAGGTAGAAGATTTTTGGAAACGATAATGCCTTGCAACTTAACTCTTCAATAGAAAAAATACGTCAGATGATGTTTAACTCTGCAATTTGGAAACTAATCTCAGGGAAGATTTTATGTTGAAAGCGAGCTATCTGTTCGCAATAAAATTAAGATTCAAAGAAAGTGAAGCAAATCTTATCCAGACTGTTATAAAACATGCAGATTTACTAGACACGAGAAGAGCAGAGACGTAAAACAGCATTCTTCTACACAACGGCGCCTAGAAACCAGAAAAAATATGTAAACACGAATGACAATAATTTATTGATTAGCTTAGCAACTGGTTCGAGGGGAGAAGAACCATGTTATTAATTTCATAATTATATATATATTCCAGAACGAAGGAAATTATCATTTTTTAAAGTAATTAAGGGATATTTGAATGCAGAGCATTGATTTCAACCATTATATATTTTTAGTTGCCCTGCGCACTTCACCCAGGTATTTCTGGAATTAACGTTAAGTGAGACCGTAATATTGATGATATTTTTGACAGTAAATCGTTTTGTTTCATTTCCAGATTGGATTACAACTGTAAAAGCATTATCCAATACATATCCATTAAAACATATACACGTCTACTGTCTTTTCAAAATAATATAAACATTCCTGTTAATTCTATATAAATAAGGTATATGTATTGGTATGAGGTAGTTAATGCGACTTTTGCCAAAAACAACTACCTTTATCCGGGGATGCAACTGATTCGTCCAGACGTATTGTTGGTGGTTCAGTTTTTAGAATGTCTGCCAATTCTTTAATCCCACCTATAGGTGTCTGCTCTTGTCTCGAAAAAAATTCGTGAATAATATTAGGGTTTATTGTTACTCTCTTTAAAATTAATTGTTCAACACCCCCTTCCCCGATTATCTCTGCTCTCTTGGTGGATAGTTGATACGTCCCGAAAAATGAAATAAAATATAAAAATTTAAGGATATTTGTCTTTCATTGCAGGTTATGGTCACATCACACCCAACACAAACTTCGGAAAAGTTATGACAATCTTTTATGCAACAATTGGGATACCTTTAGCTTTAATGGTGTTAGCAGAAGTCGGGAAAAAGTTAACCGTAGGTTTAAAATTTCTTTGGAAATTTGTCAGAAGATACTATTACACTGGATATTGCATTAAAGTACGCCAAACTGGAACCACATATATGAAAAGTGGCTTCCAACGAGGAAAAACAGCTCTACGGAAGGCATCTGTAAGATCTGTTCGACGACTTCGAGGTTTACGACAACCTCCTGTAGACAGGGAAAACAATGAAGCCCCGAAAACCATTGATATTGAGGCAGGTTCTGAGGTTTTAAGTTCCACGGAACTCCCACTTGCAGTTCTGGAGGAAGCTGCGCAGATGATGGCGGAATCGTCACTTGAGCAGGTGACACTTCATGGAAATGGTATTCAACAAATTACGTTGATGGTACCAGAAACGGAAGAAACTGAAAGCACTCTTCATGGAAATAGTATTCAACACGTAACACTGATGGTCCCAGAAACGGAGGAAACGGAGAGCGCATGTGGAGACTCTGTGACGTCAAAGGAGTCACATGATATGAATGATTTTGAAATTGACGAAAATTTTAACCTGCCACTTCCTATAGCCTCTGTTATAATGCTGATATACATCTTCTTAGGAACATGCTTCTACATGATCTTAGAACAATGGAATTTCATCGATTCCTTTTATTATGTATTCATTTCGATAAGTACTATAGGTTTTGGTGACATTGTACCTGGCCAACCCGAGTATTTCTTGGTGTCTTCAATTTACCTTTTCCTTGGGTTGGCGCTTGTATCCATGTGCATAAATGTCGGTGTTGACTATTTAAATGTGACAATAGATAAAGCTAAAGTACAAATGGACAAAGCTAGAGACAAAATGAGTATTGTGGGTAGAAAACACATCAAAATTGCTGGAGAACAATGGGGTAAAGCAAAAGTTAGAGCCAGGACAAAGGCTACAGAAATGAGAACTAAGGCACGAGAAAAAGCCACGGAAGTGCACAACATTGCCAAAGACAAGGCAAAGGAAGTGAGAAAAGACATCGTGTTAAACGTGCAGAATGAACTTTCAAGAATGAAGTCATCGAGGAAGAAGAATTCTTTAGATTCAAATGGAAAACCTCCTTCCGAGGAAAATGTTGAGAGGGAGGTGTCTGTGGACAGAAATTTAACTCTACAGAGAGTCACACATAGACATGATAAAGACAAAATTGTTTTAAATGGATCTCCAAAGCATTTTAATCCTTCTGGTCCTGTAACAGAGTTATGAGATGAAATGACATTTCCTAGTTCATCTTAAGTTAAACAGGGCGTCATATAGGGTAAAAAATGAACCTTATTTCTCATTGAGAATTCAGGAATACCGATCTGAAAATTGTCAAATGGAACAAAAGAGCAGATCATGACGTGTTCAGAACTTAAATGATGAGATGACATTTCTCAAAGAGCTCTCTGGTCGGTGACGAAAGTATGGACAAAACTTACAGAAATAATTCCAAGAAAACATGATGTAACTATATGACTGTAACAGATTACAAATTCATGAAACGTTGACTTGCCAAAGTGTTGGGAACTCCAAGGTTGTGAAACAGCCAGACACGAAGCAAATGCTTGTTCAGGAATAAAACAGTGTGTCAGAAATAGCTATATCAGACATGTATTTATATCATTTTATCATTCATGCTTCCTGGAAACATACATGAAACATTGGTGCATCAGGGTACAAAGCGAGTTCACTTTGTGTTTCCGTGTGTAAAGAAGATAGAACGATGATACAATTGTTTCCTACTTCAAGAACATTTCCATTTCTATTCAGTTGCCCCTGATCTTGACAATGCAACTTTTGTGTATATCAAACAAACATGATTGTGTGTATTCACATTACCCTTCAAACTCACTTCAGGAGAGACCTTTAACCTTTAAAGATTCTCTTAAATCATACATTACCATATTTTAACCGAATGAAGATATATAGAGTATGCTCTTCCAAGATCAGTTTATATTACAAATGTATGCCTACATGTTCATGTTAAATGTTCTTTAAATCTCAGTGATGGATATTATATATGTTCTTTAAAAAATTGCAAACTAATGATATATTTCAATTTCTGGGAACAATTTCCAAATTTCCCACCCAGAAGAGTTTATGACTCATATTTCGTTTTGCTAATTAAGCTGTGCTATTTCTGTTTTCAAGATAAATTTAGATATCATCGCTGTATGTTAAGGACCCAGGGAACCATAACTCTCATTTTTAACTTGACTGACGCGTCAATTAGATCAAATTCCATCCTCTGCTTTTGAAAAATAGAACACCTGTAAGTGTTTACACGTAATTTAAGAATCTTCAGGAATGTTGTTACTTGCTCTGATTAGGGCGATCTATAACTAGCAATATTTGAAACCTGACTCGTATATCATGATATTCAGCAACACAAAAAAATCCTATTACTGAATCTGTTGCAGTATATTTATTTTTCTTTCCTTTACCACGTCGATGTACAATGTTCCCATTATTCTTGTATCATGAACATTTTTTCGATTGGTTTTTGTAATAATCACTACTTTTTTTTCTATATTTCTACTTAACATTTCAAGATGTTAGCAAAACTTTCCAGAAAAGACGAGTAATATACTCAACTTGTTTCATTTCAACTGAATGTGTTTTTTTTTTCTTGTGCACTTGTAAAAGATTTGATTTAAAATAAGGAGTTTTGGAAGTAAAATGCGACATTTGGAAGTCATAATACTTAAATGTTGAATACACTCGGTTATATAATGAATTCATTCCCATTAATACATGTTAAAATGATGCTATCCTTGAAAATGAAACCTCAAATTCCATTTCACCAAGAGAAAACTTTACTGCATTGAACTTCTGTAATGTTAGAATTTTAGATTTGAAGTATGGGTTATCAAATAAGTAATAGTTATCTAGATTGTTACATTTTAGACACACAGAATTTTTTTCAGCCATATAGTTTATTTATTTGTTTCAACCGTAGATACATTCAGAAATACATAAATGATCTTGTTAAACAAGTTAAGTGTAGAGAGAAAGTTGTTTGTGCGTAGGTGGTGAAGAAGTAGTGGTAATTGCGGAGAAAAAATAAAAACCCGCCATTACAAAGGATGATCACCCTGCTGAAATACAAAAAAAGATTGTTTTGGTGACCGATTTCCTTCTACTGGCAATCGTATCCCCGTATTGTTACATCTTTGACAGTGTGTGCTTGTGTTTGGATGTGATTGTATACCATTGTTATTTTCATGAATGGTTGTTGTTATCTGTTTATCATCTCCACCATTCCAATTAATAAATGTTTTTCTAATTTTACAAATATACTTTGTCTTCTGTTTCCTTTATTGCTAATACAAATTAGATAAAAGGTTGATATAAACTTTTGGATAATATAACATGCACATGCAACTGACTTACTTCTGGCGATTCATGTAAATCATATACCATACCAATTTTGAAGCACCAGATGCGCATAAGGAAGAATAAACACTTTTATTAATGTACTCCATATAGGAAAAACGTATATTTAAAAAAAAAAAGAATGGTTTAATATCAATTTTTGAACGATAACAACGAAACTGTTTTTCCACATTGAATTTCACGACACAGTCGGGCAAATACATTGAGAAGAATATTGATATTTCAATAAATCAGTATCTTTTGATGTGTAGAAATGATGGTTTTGCTTCCACTTCGCCTGAATAGGAAAAATATGTTTGTTTTTTTTTTTTTTAGTTGAAAGGGGAACGCCACAAACCATAGCATTCGTATCTTTTCCCAGTTAATTTAAATTCAGACCAGCAAACATAATGGAGAACAGGAAGCAATCGCGCTGTTCAAAGTTAGGCTACTCCGCCGTCTTCACTCGATATTAATATAGTCTTTCTTAAGCTGGATAAGTTTTATGATGATTTGCTTTCGAAATTTATTCTTCTTAGCTTTTTTATAGGCAGCATTTTTTCGATTATTTTTTTTTAAATGTTAATAAAGAATAGCCACCAGAAAAAAAAAAAAAAAAAAACGGAAGAGAATCCGTATAAATATTTCATTATTATTTTTTTTTCATAGGACGATTTTGGTATTTTTCATGACAGTTTAAAAACTAATTTGATTTTTTCCCCGATTCTGAAGTCCTATGGTGTTCAGTATTACATGATTTAAAATTTGATACCTTTATAACTCTTCCATTTTTGAAGCCCCTTCAATTAAAAAAAATGTATGTCTCCAAGATTCACTTGGAAAGCAAGAAATAAAAGGTTCTGTTTTTGTGTCCCTTTGTCTACCTGCAATGTAGTCTTTCCACAAACCTTGGTTTAAACAACATAGAACATTCATATTCTTTGATGTGTAAGATATATACGAGTACAGGTGTAGAGGCCTTGAGTCAATCCAATTAGAACAAGTTCACAATGACTGAAAGGGAAATTTTCTTATACATTCAATAATATTGCAAACGACGAACATTTATATTTAGAAGCTCACTGTTGACGCAAAAAATCGAACTTATCTCATAGGTATCTTATGATCAAAGGGTTTTTCTTACCATAAACCAATGTCACTTGAAAAGTTAATTGTCGCACGAAAAAAAGTTTCATTTGACCGTTTTACTGACTATAGACGATAAGGGCCACCTAACACCCAAACGCTGGTTTGAATTCTTGACAAAGATGACTTCAGCTTTCTTCATCGTCAAATTTTCTTATTTCTATAGTAATATTTCACTATCAACTGCAAATGATTGTTTATGTCTTACAATCAATTCGATGCTAGCTCAAGAGCATACTCCAAGTACGATGATTTTTAAACCGAGGCAGGGCTGACAAACAAGTTGATAAACAGAAATTTCAACAACCTTGTTTAAAGTAAGCATTTCATAAATTCTATGATCATTATAATGACATTATTAGCAAATACAACCTATCATTGGGTCGTTTTTTGACTGATATGTTTCATACGACTTGTTAGGCCATTGTTTTTAAAACTAAATTTGATCACGGATTACTCCGTCTGCCTGATCAATACGTAGGGCTCACGGCGGGTGTGACCGGTCGACAGGGGATGCTTACTCATACTAAACATTTGATCCAACCTATGAAGTGTCCTTAAAATTTAATGTTTTCAAAAAGTTATGAAATAGGCTTAATAAGAGTTGAGTAAATAAATTTGATAAATCATGAAAGAACATGGTATGAAGGAGGACCATTCTGGAAATATGACGTCATTAATTTGGTACCTATCTAAGTTTAAAACAGAAAAAGCCTCATAACGACTCATTTCAGGGGTCATTTCCCTAACGAAAATAGTGTCCAAAGCCGTCGCCGACTTCAATTTTCAGATAGGTTGTGTATCCTTTAAAAAATCACATTTCTCAGAATCTTTGTGGGCGATGCATGTGCTCTTTATTATCTGAAAGAAAATTCCACTGAAAATTGATGTCTTCTGCAACTTTATAAGAAAATAAGGAAAATGTACAAGTTCATGAAGCCACAATTAGCATTTAAGAGGTCATATGAGAAAAACAATTTGTATATTCTTACTGCTTGGAATTTCAATGATTCAGAAAGGATGAATTTAATTTCTTACATCACTTCCATATTTTAAAAATACAGAGCTAGATTTGTATTGAAACGGTATCTTATTCTTTTATGAGCACTGAGAGCATCGTTATAACTAATCTACAAATGGCTGCGTTGAAAATCTTTGTTACACCTAGAACACTTTAGCACACTTAGTACAATACACGTACCTTGATTTTGTCAAAGAAGAAATGACTTGAATTTGTTCTGTCTGAATCGAATCCAAATTGGATACTAATGCTAAAATTAAATAGACCTTAGAAAGCAAAACACAGTAATTCCAACGATCACATTTTTTCTCATGAAGACCCAATTCAATGTTTTATCAGGATAACTTACTAGTATATATAATTACTTTCACATAGAATTACAAGCATTTGGTCGTAATCATTGATAAAAGCGTGAAGAAACTACAATGACAATTCAAAATCTTTGAACTCGGTCTTTCATGAAAATACTAACAGGTGAAATATATGTTTTGACCTTTCTACTGTTGTACTGATCTGTACGTATTAGCTTTATGTTCCCCGCTGTCGGAAAGAAACAAACTTAATTCTAACTTGTGATTTTTTATGAATACTCGCGCAGAGACGCAATGTGAGTTTGGCAAAAATAATCATAAAACAGCTAGTCTGTCATTAAAATTGTCCTTGGATCAATCATACTTAAAAAAATATTCTTAGAGCTATCAGATGCAATCATTCAGTTTAATAAACATGTGTTTAAAATGGAAAAGCAGTTACTATTATCAACCCTCTTTTGTTTTTTTCTCGTCAGACATGCTTTTTTCTCTACAAAACACGTTTCACGTTCGTCATATATTTATGCTTCATATATGAAAATCAGAATTCAATATAAATTAATACGATGAAATGTACTACTATTCAAACAACTTGTGAGTAATTGGACTCCCTATGAGATCATTGTCTTTATATAATCTGAAAAATACACTTAAATGGTAAATTTAAAAATAAGAAAAATTCATGAAAGCTTAGACAATCAATGAAGTCATTTTGGCAAGCCAAAAATCAACACAAAGAATAAAACAATCAACACAATTACAAAAATAGCCATTTTCTATTTACCTGAAGATGAATTATCAATAATATACAGGAGTTTATTTTAAATGAAATATTAAGATAATGAACAGTAATCAAGCTCAAACGTCCATTGGAACAGATGCCATGGAGGAGTAAGCATCTCCTGTCGACCGATCACACCCTTCGTGCGCTCCTTGTCATGATAGGGCAAACGGCAAAATCCGTAGACAATTCAGTGTGAAAATAATGGCCTAACAATTTGTATAAAAAACGTCAGTCAACATTCGACTTAACGATAGATTTGCTTGCAATGTTATTGTATCAACCATAAAATTTGTGAAAATTTGACGTTAAACGATATTATTGTTGATATTCCTGTATCATAAACTTATTTGTCAATAGCTGGCCTTGCTTTAGAAATTGTTTGTACGTAGAGCATGCTCTGGGGTGACAGATCAATTGGGAGACATAAACTCTATATGTAGTTGATAATAGTATACTGCTACATCAATCGATAGAAAAGATGAAGTCATCACGTTTATCATAAAGTTTTGTTAGGTTGCCCATAAATTTCTTTTCCTAGTAAAAGTATCCAAATATGAAACAGAGGTGTCAGACGCTGTAGTGTCTTTCTAGTTCAAAGGAATATATTGAATCAACGTAGGAATGGAAATTAATATTGGTAATTGAATAAAAAACACCATCGATATATCGACGAATATGTTGAATTGAAGGCCACATAAAGAGACTACTTCTTTTCATGCAGAAGTTTTTGAATAAATTCTGTTTTTTTATGAATACAAAAAATAGGCTTGCAAGTAAGGAGGGGATAAGCACCCTTGAGTTTCCCACAGATTGCTGGAAAACTTTATTTCCAAAAAAAAAAAAAAAAAAAAAAAAATACAAAGATAATGTCAATCAGAAACTCAAGCATCTTTTTAATATTTCAACTTTGGAGTATTTGTGTGTTCAATCAAATTGTATCTTTTAAATAATATTGCAAATGACCGATGAATAAAATGATAATAATCATTACACCTTCCGTGAAAAAAGAAAAAGAAAAATAATACAACAAAGAACTATATGCGGCATATGCATATTTTTGCCCCCTCCGAAAGTCATATTTTGAAAATTTTTTGAAATGTGCTGAATTTTATATATTGTATGAGAAATCTAAATGAACAAAAGATATTATAGTTTCAAAGTAGGTTATTGGCAAGTTTTGTTTCAATGACGTCACAAACTATTCGGATTTTATGTTATTTTTCAGAAAGAGGGAAAAAATGGACAAAATTTGTTCAATTTTTACCATAAAATTTATAGAGGGCAGGCCTGCTCCAGAACAATATTTACATATTTCATTGATATTATCATTCTACACATTCTATTAAAATATTGAGTTGGAGCAGGCCTGCGCTCGGTGAATTTTACTCAAAATATCGACATAATATACACCTTTTTCTGTGTAAATCATGAAAATTTTGAATTTACGGCATTTTACTGACGTCATATCTAACATATGGCGTCATGGCTTATGAAAATATTCAGTGTTTTGAAGTCTGCAGATATCCCCCTGTTTTAGAACGTAATTAAAGATTTCTTCGTCAAAGTTTGATTTTGGGGGGCAAATATTGGTCATTACCGAATATAGTCCTTTTCGTATGTATGTAGTCAATGTTATTAAACCTGCTAAAACCACATGGAGTT